CCACCGGGACGCCGTTGATGCTGATCTTGCCTGCGGAGATGAAGGCAAGTTAGCTTTCATTATCGGTGCTATTATTAGTAGTAGTAGTAGTAGCAGTAGCAGTAGTAGTAGTAGTAGTAGTAGTAGTAGTAGTAGTAGTAGTAGTAGTAGTAGTAGTAGTAGTAGTAGTAGTAGTAGTAGTAGTAGTAGTAGTAGTAGTAGTAGTAGTAGTAGTAGTAGTAGTAGTAGTAGTAGTAGTAGTAGTAGTAGTAGTAGTAGTAGTAGTAGTAGTAGTAGTAGTAGTAGTAGTAGTAGTAGTAGTAGTAGTAGTAGTAGTAGTAGTAGTAGTAGTAGTAGTAGTAGTAGTAGTAGTAGTAGTAGTAGTAGTAGTAGTAGTAGTAGTAGTAGTAGTAGTAGTAGTAGTAGTAGTAGTAGTAGTAGTAGTAGTAGTAGTAGTAGTAGTAGTAGTAGTAGTAGTAGTAGTAGTAGTAGTAGTAGTAGTAGTAGTAGTAGTAGTAGTAGTAGTAGTAGTAGTAGTAGTAGTAGTAGTAGTAGTAGTAGTAGTAGTAGTAGTAGTAGTAGTAGTAGTAGTAGTAGTAGTAGTAGTAGTAGCAGTAGCAGTAGTAGTAGTAGTAGTAGTATCATCATCATTGTTGTTGTTATTACTGTTATTATCATTGTTGTTGTTGTTGTTGTTGTTGTTATTTTTATAATTATTATAATTATAATAATAATAGTGATAATAATAATAATAATAATAATTATTATTATTATTATTATTATTATCCTCATCATCATCATTATTATTACTGCTACTATTGTTATTATTATTGTCATCATCATTAGCAGTATTATGTTATTGTCAATCATTAGCATCAACAGTTGGAATAGAATTTCAATTTACTCTATATAATAAGATAAATAATATTAATCGTTATGCTAGAATTACAATAAAGAATTTTAAAAATAAAGATATATATCCATTATCTAATAATATCAAGAACAGAGAAAACAATACTAATAACAACAGAAACAACAATGACAACAACAGAAACGACAACAACAACAACAACAACAACAAAAACAACAACAAAAACATAAAAGTTCAGTCCTCCGCACGTACCTTGTGGATCAGCAGCGAAGGTCAATTTCTTCCCGGCAAGGTTGGTCACACTGATTCCTTCAGGCGAGGATATTTCCGGATCCTGGACATTGATCGGGTCCTGGACCAGGTAGTCGAGTAGGAATTCCGTCCGTAGGGCCACGTTCTCAGGGGCGTCGTCGTAGAGAGGGTGAGGGGCGTCTTGGGGAACCAGATTCATGACGATGAAGTAGTCTGGAGATATGAGGGTCTTGGGCTCTGCGGGAGATGAGGGTCTGTTTAGTGTTAAGCTGTGAAATACTTTGTTTATTTGTTAATCTGTGAAATACTTTGTTTATTTTTTAATTTGTGAAATACTTCGTTTATTTGTTAATCTGTGAAATACTTTGTTTATTTGTTAATCTGTGAAATACTTCGTTTATTTGTTAATCTGTGAAATACTTCGTTTATTTGTTAATCTGTGAAATACTTTGTTTATTTTTTAATTTGTGAAATCCTTTATATTCTTTTGTTAATCTGTGAAATACTTTGTTTATTTGTTAATCTGTGAAATACTTTGTTTATTTTTTAATTTGTGAAATACTTTGTTTATTTGTTAATCTGTGAAATACTTTGTTTATTTTTTAATTTGTGAAATACTTTGTTTATTTGTTAATCTGTGAAATACTTTGTTTATTTGTTAATCTGTGAAATACTTTGTTTATTCGTTAATCTGTGAAATACTTTGTCTATTTGTTAATCTGTGAAATACTTTGTTTATTTTTTAATTTGTGAAATACTTTGTATATTTTTTCAATTTGTGAAATACCTTGTTTATTTTTTTAAATTTGTGAAATACTTTATATTCTTTTGTTAATCTGTGAAATACTTTATATTACTTTGATAATCTGTGAAATACTTTGTTTATTTGTTAATCTGTGAAATACTTTGTTTATTTGTTAATCTGTGAAATACTTTGTTTATTTTTTAATCTGTGAAATACTTTGTTTATTTGTTAATCTGTGAAATACTTTGTTTATTTGTTTCTCTGTGAAATACTTTGTTTATTTGTTAATCTGTGAAATACTTTGTTTATTTGTTAAGCTGTGAAATACTTTGTTTATTTTTTAATCTGTGAAATACTTTGTTTATTTGTTAATCTGTGAAATACTTTGTTTATTTGTTAATCTGTGAAATACTTGGTTTATTTGTTAATCTGTAAAATACTTTATATTTATTTCTTAACCTGTGAAATGCCTAAAGGAGAAACACTGCCTTAGGACTTGTATGAAAGGAACACGAGATGGTACAATACAGGCCTACCTCTATCATCTCTGAGTGTAGCGGTAGCGTCCTGGTGTCTCAGTGCATGACGCCATAAGTTCAGGAGTGAAGAGGACTCTCCTTCTTCAACGAGCTGGGGAATTCTGGGGACTGTAAGACCCGTGGGTTCTTCAGAATCAAAAGCCTGTCCTGTTGTGTCCTGCTCTTCTGGCTGGTACTGTGGGGCTTCTGTGGCGTTAACGACATCTTCAGTAGAATCAGGCCTTTCGGTTCCTATGGAAATTTCATCTACTTCCGATGCCTTGTCTGTTGTGAGACCTGGTTCTTTGCTTGGGACGGGCTCTGCAGGATTCGTTACCTCGTTGAAGGAGGAGTCCTTAGAAATCACGGCTTTTGCGACAGGAACTGGTAAACTCGTCGTACTTGGTGTACCCGTTACTGGATCTGTGTTTTCTTCTTCAATCTTCGTGGCTTCTGAGGTTTCATTTGTACTTGTCACTTCAGGAGCAGACACCAGCCCTTAAGGAGTAAAACTTCATTGCATTTATGGCAAATTTCATACATACAAAAGAACAAAAACAGAAAATAGGGGACAAGTGGATGATCATAGATAATTATATATCATTCATAAACAACTTCCCTAAACATCTAGCTGTAAATCAACTAAAATTACAACAATAAAATATATTATAAAACCTTATAAAAAAAAGATTAAGCATACCATGTTTCTGGACGAATAATCCTTCGTTCGTTCTTGGAAGAGTGTGAAGGATCTCATCAATCACATGGCGGTGATCGAAAAGGAAGTCTGACAGGGTGAGGACCACTGTCCCATCGGATAAGACGTTGATGCCTTCTACCGATACTCCATTGACGGTCAGGTTGTCTGCAAATGATTGCTCACTTACATGTGTGGATTGGGTATTGTTTATCAGAGCCTGGTGATATATAATGTATAGAAAACGCCATTCACAAGCCATACATTACATACATGTTTACGTAAGACACAAACCATTAGCATCCACAAAGAATATGAGTTCCTTCCTGCTGAGATTGGGAACAGCAAGTCCTTCAGGCTGAATCATTCTAGAATCCTGGAAGTCGAAAGGCTCCAAGACCAGGTAGTCTAGGAGGAATTCCTTACGAAGAGCTGCGGCTTCGGGTGTGTCTCCATACAGCGGATGCGGGACATCTTGGGGCACTAAGTTCACCATTGTGAAGTAATCAGGAGACAGAATAGTCCTAGGAACACCTAAAAAGAAAACAGAATTTAAGAATATTCAGCCACAATTTTTTAAATTATTTCAAACTATAAGCAAACAAAATCTATCGAATACGAGGTCATGAAACACTACCTATTTCTGCTCCTGATGAGTTAGTTTCACTGTGGCTGAGAGCTTCCTTCCATACGTCTAGCAAAGCGAAGTCGACTTCTTCCGTGGCAGCAGGTATTTGTGGGATAACAGTTTGTTGCCACTCTGCCAGGAGATCCTCTGAGTAAACACTTTCGAGTAATGTGTCTTGGGGCAGGATATGTTCTTTTCTTGCAATGTCCAGAGAGTGACTGAGTGCCTCTGGTGTCTCTGTATCATTAGTATTTGTGAGTCGTGTTTCTGTCTCAACCGTAACACCTGCATGAGTGTTGTTAGCGTCTATGGAATCCAAAGGCGAGAGATTCGTAACAACTTCAGCTTGAGGGATTTCTTCCGGATGGGTTTCTAAAGGTGCCTCGGCCATAATCTTAGTCTTTGGAAGAGATTCTGCCGAACTCCTAAGTGGAATTTCTGTCCTTGGGATGATATTTTCGTGACTGTCGAATGACAACTCTGTATCAAGCAAAGGTGTTGTGGGGATTTCTGTCTCTGGTACAGCAACAGGGGCCCTTGGATTTTCAGAGTCAGTTTCATTCTCCTGCGTGAAGTCCTGAGACAATTCGTCCATAGATTCCGTCGTTGGAAGAGGCTTTTGCAGAGATTTGAACAAGGTCTCAGTAACTGGTTCCGGTTCCACTGACGAAACCTCGAACGGAGTTTCTGTAATGGGGATGTGAACATGTGAGAGATCTGTCTGTTCCTCTTCTTCATTTACAGGATCAGGAGACGCAGTTTCGAAAAGGGTTTCTGTTTGTGGATTCAAGTCCTCAGGAGCTATTTCCACTGTTGGCCCCGTTGCTGGAATAACCACTGGTGACTCAATGTGGGATTTTGATTGTTGTTCAGGATCCGTGGACGAAGACTTCATTGAAATAGACGTTACGGCACTGGCTTCCTCTATAGATGGGTCCCACGCGGCCTCTGTTGCTGGAACTATATCAGCCAATGCAGGCTCAAACGCTTCTGTGATTCCTTCGAATTCCACTTGGCTTACGAACACAGACTCAGTCACAGGTATGGGCTCTTCTGGCGATGGCTCGTAGACAAAATCTGTGACAGGATCTACTTCGACTGCCGGGGTTTTCTCAGGAATTTCCGTCTGTGGCGCCGGTTCCTCTTCTGCCAGAGGACCAGAGAACGTCTCTGTTACCGACTTCACTTCCACGTCGTTGGTGCCTTTGGGTGACGCCGTCTTTTCGAACGCCGAGATGGTCTTCGAAGCGGGAACTGGCTTATCCGAGAGAGAGGACATTGAGAATTTCGTCAGCGTAATAGAAGTCACCGGGGCTGAGATCTCCGACGATATTTCCGTGACTTCGCTGACCACCACGCGGGACTTAGGGATTTCAGCTTCCGGCAGAGGGCGAGGCACTTGAGACGCTGTTTCCGCGGATTCCGTTTTCTGTTCTTGGATTTTGGCGGGTTGCTCAGCTGCTGGGGAGTGATTAATTGGCGGTCAATGTTGACAAGTTAATGTGTGATGTGTATTTTCTACAAATATGGTGTTTTTTCCACTTTCTTTTTTAATGTCTATTCATAAAAAGTGAATTCATACCGCAAAAAATACACGAAATAAATCATATAAGTTCTAAGATACATGAAGCAAGTTAAAACATAAAATACATGTTGATCTAATATACGCTAAATCTAAATCAATTCAACAAAATACAGTATTATTATCTAATGACACTACAGCAGTTCCATTAACAATAAAACAGAAAACAACCCGACCTTGCTCGTGACATCCAAACCCAACAAGCAAGCGAACTTCTTCCAACTAATCTTACAAGAAAGTTTCCTCTGACCACAAAAATCTAACCTTGCCCTTCTACATAACTCCCCCCTACCCTCTCCGTCCTTCCCTCCCCCATCCCCTCTCTCTCTCTCCTCCTTCTTTCCCTCTTTCTCCCCCTCCCTGCTTCCCTCCCCCCTCCCCCATCCCCTTCTCTCTCTCTCCTCCCTCTTTCCCTTTCCCTCTCCCTCCCCTCTCCCTCCTTCCCTCCCCCCTCCCCTCTCCCTCTCCCTCCCTCCTTCCCTCCCCTCCCTCCTTCCTTCCCCCCTTATACTCACCAAGATTCCTTCCATGAGGCTGGAGTCGATTGGCTTGTTGGCTCAAGAACCTGAAGGCCTCATCGAGACGCCCTTTGTGGTCCTCGAGAAAGCGCTCCAAGGTATAGACTTCGGTCCCGTCTGGGAGGGTGTGCACGCCCTCTACCGGCGCTCCGTTGAGACTCACGCCGCCTGGAAAGCGAATCGGGAGTGAATGCTTTGATGGGTTAGATTCCAGTGTACTTCGCAGGATTAGATTCCACTGTGCCTAGTTTCTGCGAGTTTGTTTGCCGTTTGTGCGAACTTATTATATTAAATCATAATAAATATAATAGTATTCCGATGACTGAGTGGCCAAGAAGATGAATAGGAGAGGCGTAAACTGTAGCCTAGACTTAACTGTATTTCAAAAACAGAAATGAATAATTACAATGATACGCCATAAAAATGAAAGCGAAAAATAAAAATAAAAATAAATGAAAATAAAATGAATTAGACGAAAAAAATAAATAAATGATAATTACAAAGCAACGAGGCGAGTAATACAAAGGTCATATTGTAATAAGGAGAAAAACAAAAGTCTCGTAAAATAAGTGAATTTCACAACGAAAGAACAAAGGGTCTCGATAAATACAAAAAAGGAAAAGAAAAAAAAGAAAAGCAAGAGAAAAAAGAAAAACAAAAGTAAAAGAAAAGAAAAAGATAGGAAAAGAAATACGAGAAAAAAAACAAAAAGAAAACATACATATAAATATATAGATTAACAGATAGACAGACATACAAATAAGTCAGTAGACAAACAGACAAGTAGTTCGATGAATTGACAATTAAACAGATAGACAGATAGACACAGAGCGATAGACAGAAATAGACACAAAGGTAGGAAAACCCATATCTCTCATCATACCGCCAGTTTCCCTCGTGAAGGTGAGCGCGTTTCCCGAATGACTAAGAAGTGTCAGCCCGTCAGGAGAGTTCATCCTCGGATCCTCGGCGTCCAGGGTTTCGAGTTCCAGGTACTCCAGGAGGCCTTCCATGTGGTCCTCCTTCCCCTCCTCCTTCTCCTTCTCCTTCCCCTCCTCCTCCTTCGTCGCCTTCTCTCCCTCTTCCCTCGGTTCCGCCACGGTGAAGTTATTCCTTGAAGTTTCGGTGTCTGGGATGGGGATGGGCGTTGGGAGCGAAAAGAGGAAATTGGAAAAATGGGTAATGTATTATGATTAAATAGATTCATTAGATGATTAAATGGAATAAAAAGAAAAATATTCGGTTCATGGATTCGAACGCGTGGATAGGCCTTCTTTGACAGAGATTTAGTGAAGGAAAACTTAAGATAACTGAAATTACTTTTCATTTCTTATGTATATTCTTACGTGACTTGATTTTGAATATTTCACAATAAACTGAGAAACAGAGTAACGGAACAAAACATTACCTAGAAAAAATAACAACACATTTTTAAGATCTTTTATTTTACATTGATTATAATTTAATTAATTCTAATAATTCATGTACTAATTATTTTTTCCCCCCTTTTCTTCTTTTCTACTCTTATTCAACTCTTTTCTTTCTCTCTTCATTTCTTTCTCTCTCTCTCTCTCTCTCTCTCTCTCTCTCTCTCTCTCTCTCTCACTCTCTCTCTCTCTCTCTCTCTCTCTCTCTCTCTCTCTCTCTCTCTCTCACTCTCTCTCTCTCTCTCTCTCTCTTTCTCTCTCTCACTCTCTCTCGCTCTCTCTC